TGTGTGTGTGTGTGTGTGTGTGTGTGTGTGTGTGTGTGTGTGTGTGTGTGTGTGTTTAGGGTGAAGAAAGAACAACAAAATAGGTGGGTATGATGGTGTGCAAAGGCTCTTGGTAAAATGCTTGTCAAACCTTCCAGTAACATGAAAGATATGTTGCTAGAATTACAGCTCCACTCTCCACCAACTTCTAAACAGCACATATCAGACTAGAGGTTCTGCATTTTTTATAGGATGTTAAGGGGACACTGCTGGTATCCCACCTAAGCCCTCACATCCTATTGCTAGTTCTACACAACTCTCCATAGTTTCTAAGGGCATTTCTTATATGCTTTGCACTTCATGCCTTTAAAAATTGTCCATTGACACTACAAATACAGGCCTAGAAATGACTTGGAATGTCTCTCTCTCACCCACATGGTAGAAAACTTAGATTAAAATACAATATTCTTAGTTAAATTTGAATTTTACATGACTGGTGGTTCACACTATAATAAACAAACAAATTTTATTAAGAATTAGAATCTTCTAAATATTTTACTATGTATACTTATACTAAAAATGTTGTTTGTCTCAAATTCATGTTTATCAGAACATCCTTTATCCTTAGTAGTTAAGCAAGGAAAACCCTTGTGCGGGATCCACAGTCAGTGACTGACTTGGATCAGAGTAAAATGGCCTGACTGCTTCAAATGCAAAGGGACAGTTTAAATTTACAACCTGTTAAAAATTGCCCTTTGTTTTGCATATCTAGTCCCTAGCAACAAGTGAATAGCCATTTGTTATGCATTCCTGAGAGGCTGCTATGCCTTTCCTATCCTGTTCCTATTTTCCCAGCTTTGAAACTACTGACAAGAAATAAATCATTAGGCATCTGATAAAACATCATTTCCACTTGTATATAATGTGAGTTTTTAAAAGGGATGCCTTAGCCCAGCTGCTCCAGGAATAAAAAACCAATGAACCATGAAGAAATATACTTTATCGAGAAGAAAAGAGAATAATTGCCTAGCTGGGTCAGGTCATAGATGAAAGAGATGGGCATCTCACAATCTTTTTAGATGATAGTTAAGAAAAGATAGCCCCTCCCCCGAATTTTTAAAGGAATCACTTGGAATGAAGTGATTGCCGTACTATGATGAATAATAAAACGGATTACAGCAGCCCATTAATGAGCCATCACCAAGGTCAATTAACGTTCCAGGGAAAGGATGGTTTGCTCTATTGATCTCTTGAGCATCTTCATTTTCTTAATAGGAAAGCCTTGCTCTTGACATGCTAAAGCTGAACAACTCTGATGACAATATTTAGATGATCTACAAGCTACCTCAGTATTCACAATTTAGAAGATAGTCTTCTTTGGAGACATGCAGGAGGCATCTGTGAGAGGCTGGAGGGGGAAATGTGGAATGCATATGATCAAAATACGTTGTATGAATGTATGAAATTTCCAAAGAATAAATTCAAATACTTTTAAAGTCTATTTGCATACTGTCTCTCAGTTTATAATTGCAAAAATATCTTGTGTCAAAACATGAGTGTTTGATGCAATATGCCCATATGGCATTACTGCTTTATAATTATTCATGTCTAACAACAGAAAAGACAAAAGAAACAAACCCAGGCTTAGTGATTCTAGAATAACAGTATAAACACCTTGATCATGGGGAGGAAGACCTTCATTCTTGATGAGTAAGTATAAGGCAAATAATTCAAAATAGCATGATCTAATTTGCTCTATAGGCCTGGGACTCTTTGTTTCTTTGAACAAGGAAGCCAGTCTTTCCTCTCCCTATATGGTGCCCCTCTTAATGTTAGCCTGAAGTGTAAAACAATATGATGGTGATGTAGAGATGGCCCATGAATTAAGAGCACTGACTGCTCTTCCAGAGGACCAGATTTGATTTCCTGCACCCATATGGCAGTTCATAATCACCTATAACTACAGTCTCAGGAGATCCAATATCCTCTTCTATGGGTACTGGCATACATTCAGTGCACAGACATATATTCAGCACAATACCCATGTACATAATAATAAAGATTAAATGTATTAAAAAAGTCACTCAACCACAGAGTCCCAAAGATGCTAACAAAAATAGACCAACACTAATTTAGGTACACTATCATTATGAATGACTGTCATATCTACTCAGAACCGTGGAAGCAAATATGAAGACCAAAGATAACATTTTATTTTTTTTTAAATTTTTGAGATATAGTCTCACCAAGTAGCCACAGCTGTCCTGTGTCATTATTCAGTCCAGGATGTTCTGAAACTCACAACAGACCTGCCAATTTATCAACCTGAGATCTAAGTTAACAGGTAATACCATGAGTGATTGGGGTTTTGAAGAAAAAAATGCAATGGAGGCAGCATAGAAGGGAAGTGAAACAATCCACAAACCCAGAGATGCTAGGTAACAAGGAGAGCTCAAGAGGAGAAGCTCAGATCTCCCTGAGAAGGGGAAGTAGAAGAGATTTCATGGGTGAACTGGGCAGGGGGCAGGAAGCTGGGAATGGGAACTGTTGTGGAGTATTAATTAATTTAAGATGTGTTAAATTTGTTTATCCTGTAGAATATTTGTTTCATGATGCAAAGATGTATTGCATTCTTTTATGTTGCATTTGTTTAAGTCTGTGAAGCTGTGTTACTTTGCCTGTCTATAATACCTGATTGGTCTAATAAAGAGCTAAATGACCAATAGCAAGTCAGAAGAAATGGAAAGGCGGGGTAGCCAGGAAGACAGAATAAAAGGAGGTGAAATCTAGGCTTAAGTAAAAAAAAAGGGAAGAGAGAGAAAAGGAGGAGAGGAGGACACAAGGGGCCAGTCACACAGCCACATGGTCATAGAGTAAGAAGGAAAGAAAGATATATAGAATAAACAAAGGCAAAAAGCCCAGAGGAAAAACATAAAGATAAATGGGATAAGTTAAGTTAGAAAAGCTGGCTAGAATCAAGCCAAATTAAGGCTGGACATTCATAAGTAAGACTAAGTCTCCATGTATTTGAGAGCTGGGTGGCAGGTCCCCAAAAAGAAAAAAACCCTGCAGGGAATATGAGAGATCAGTTTAGGGGGCAGATGGTGGGGGAAAATACTGAAAGAGACTACTGGAAAAGGGAGTGGGTATTTCAAAATCAGGTTAAAAACCTGGTGCATGGTTATCTTCCAGGAAATCTACAAGGATAACCCCAGCTAATAAGACTCCTATTGACCAGGCAAGACTTCAAGTGGAGTGAGTGGGAAAACAACTCAGCCACGTAACCTTCAACATATAGTCTGTCCTGCCTATTGAATGTGCTGGGGGTAAGGGTGGCCTAGAGATTGAGGGAGTGGCCAGCCAATGACTGATCTAGCCTAAAACCTATGACATGAGAGTAAGCCCACCCCTGACACTGCCTGGAGATCCAGGACCCACAGGCTGGATGACCCAGAAACCTAGGACAGAACCAAACATGAGGGAAGGGGGAAAATATCAATGTAACCATGCCTAACAATATTTATAGATTGGTGACCAGCCCAATTGTCATGAGACAGGCTTCATCCAGCAACTGATGGACACAGGTGCAGAATCCCACAGCCAAACAAAAGGCTGGGCTGGGGAATCCTGTAGAAGAGGAGGAGAAAAGATTGTATGAGCCAAGGTGGCCAAGGATATTACAAGAAAACCAACAGGAACAACTAACCTGGGCTTATAGGGAATCACAGAGACTGAACCAGCAACCAGGAAGGCTGCATGGGGCTGACCTAGGCCATCTGCTTATGTGTGACAGTTGTGTAGCTTGGTTTGAATAGAAATGAAAGAGGAGTGGATCAGGGGTGCAGATATGAGGTAGGGGCCACTGGGAGGAGAGGTGGGAGGGGAAACTGTCATCAGGATGCAAAATAAATTAGTTTTAAAAAGAAGGGAAGTGGTGAAAAACTATTTCAAGGGCAAAGATGCGTTGCTTATGTTTTACCCACACAGGGCTTCTTTAGTCATATGGAGAATATATATACAACACTGGTCCTCTGAAAGTGGATAATAGCTTTTATATTTCTCCTCTACAGTGTTATAAAACGTGATGTGTAGAGGGATGCTAGAGAAAATAAGGAAGCATATATGAATAGCTATCATTAATAAAAGCACCAAAAATAGAAAAACATCCCCTCTCTAGAAAAGTTCTGGTCTATATACTAGATTACAACATGTTCCTGGGTTCCATACTCAGCACCGCAATGAGAAAAAAAAGTGAGGTTTTATAAGAAAAAAATGTTCTGCTTGTAGAACATAAATAGAGAAGAACAGAAATACTAGCAGGATTGCTGTAGCCTGAGCAATCAATAACAAAATGGAATTAGCATGTGGACAAATCAGTATACCATGAGATCAGATAATATTTTCTTACTTTTAGTGTTGATAGTAATGAAAATGAGGCCTGACTTAGGCCAAAACAAGATAGAAAATCAAATCTGATTAGAAGTGACTATGCTTTTGGCTATCTGCAGTCTTCCTCTTTGCTTCTCCTAACAAGTGATGACACTATGCACAAGAGATTCTCACTTGACCCATCTGGAAATCAGTTAGAGGCAGTGGAACAAGATATAAATGGAATTACAAAAAATCTCTAGGACAACACACATGATGGAAGTATTAGTATTTTTTAAAAGCAGCAAGGAATAGATATGACACTTAAGAGTATTTTTTCAGAAGTTGAAAGGGAAAAAGAACAAGAAATGAATGAAAGAACTATCTTCCATGTACATCTCTACTTGAACTTACAGCCCTAACTCCCCAAACACAAGGCTGCATTCCTTCACATGACACACATGTTTCTAATAGCTTTAAATCAAGAGGAAAGCTTTTCTGTAATAACTGAGAAACATCTTCCTGCCTTTTGTATTGTATGGTAGGCATTCTTTGTGTCCCAAACCTTTACAGATACTTAGATTCCCTATGTGGGCAGAAAGTTATCAACATGATTCCCAGGCTATCCATTGCTCAATTTGTATGTTGCTTACCTGTCTGAACCAGGGCCTGACTTGAAATTCTGAAGATTTTGACTATCTAAATCCAAGCTATAGCTCCTCCCACTGTCAGGCTTTGGAGTTCTGATTTCTCCTCTGGTTGCTGATCTGAACTTGCTCAGAAGAAATCTGAAAATAAACATGCAAATTCAAGAGTAAGATATGAAACTCTTATCATCATACTCACAAACTACTGCGTCTGTCAACCACCATCAAAGAATCTTCTATTTGCAGGGATCTTTGCAAAAGAGGGGCTAGAAAGAGTGTAAGGGCTAGAGATGGTGGACAACTAAAGGAAACAGTAGCATCTGGGCACAGAATGGTAGCTGCCCATATGAACGCACAGTGATGTGACAGCATGCAAAAATAAAAACAAGAAAAAACAAAACAAATAACAACAAAACATGTGCAAGCCAAGTCAGACAAAAATCCCAATGTGGAAACGAGATTTGGGGATAAATTCCTACCCCTGCCCAGGGAGCAATTGCCAATCTCTAGGGACAGGGAGAATCAGGTTTCTCTAAGAACGTAGCCTCTGGTAAGTAAACCACACTCAAGTGGAAGGCCACATATCCAAGAATATTTAGATATCACAATTACATCTTGATGGGTTAAAAAAGTAAAGGAGGGGCTGGAGAAACAATATAGCACTTAAGATTACTGACTGTTCTTCTGGCAGATCTAAGTTCAACTCTCAGCACCCACATGGTGCTCACAACAGTATATACGACTCGATTTACACTGACACCTTCTGGGAACATTGGGCATCAGGCACACACATAGTGTATACACATTCATGAAGGTAAAGTGCTATATATAAAAAATTTCCAGTGTAGCTCAGTGATACAGAGAATGTTTAGTAGGGACAAAGACCAGGGTTTGATCTCCAACACCAAAAGTGAATAAAAACCCAATAATTTATATTGCTTTTACCAATAAATGGTTGTTCAATAAAAGAGCATGGCTGAGGGGTTCTGGGTAGTTGGGTACCAGTGCTTCTAGTTCCCCAGTAAGCATACTACTTGTTGCTAAGCCAGGTCTCTGGCCCTGCTAAGCAAAAGACTCCCTAGTTTGGAAACTCATCAGTGGCAGCTGAGAGGGAGGAGCGTATTCTGGGGGGGGGGACTCTTGGCAAGCATGCTGAGAACAGGGAATTGCATATGACTTTCACAGAAAGGAAACAAGGCTCTGGGAAAAACAAAGGTGGCAGCTTAGACCACAGCACCGTTAGAGCAGTGACTACCTTTTCTCTTTACTGGAGCCAAAACTACTCTGGGGAATACAAGAATATGCTATGTTCTTACTAACCATGCCCTGTATCACTGAGTGCCACGGGGAATGACATCTTTTAAACTATATATTACTTCTTGGACAGTTTCATACAATATGCCTTGATTATATTCACCCCCTCAACTTGTCACATCCACCCTCCCATACAAATTTACCTACTTTGTGTTCTTTCTGTCTCCTGCTCGTGTGTGTGTGTGTGTGTGTGTGTGTGTGCATTCTTTGACGAAATCTGCCTTTATATCTTCCGTGACACCTCTCCTGTAGTAATGAAGTTTATACAAAGAAAGGTCTCGTGCTGGGCAAAATCTTATTGCATTACTATGCCATGTAGATATTTGGAAATAAAGCAAAATAGCTTTTGAGGAAATGGAGTTCAAGTCCTGGACCAGATACTGACTGTTTCTAAATAAACTTGAATAAAAATTGGACTTTTGGGGTCTATTAATAATAATTTTCGAAGAGCACATGAAGTATGGAAAGAGAAGGGTTTGTGAGTCCAAGGGAGAGCTGCTGGTAAGCAGTATGGGTGGATATGATAAAAATGCATTATATACACATTTGAAATTTTCAAAGAATAAATAAAAACAGTAAAATGATAGCAACAAACTCCCAGCTGTACTCTTTAGGAAGATGGTAGCGGGGCGATCATTTCATTTATTTTATATTCAACAATGTTCTATGTGAACAAATGGTTTCCAAAGGTACTGGCATAATCTTAATAGAATCTGCTAAGTTGTCTCTGCTTCAAAGAAGCATAGCAAAATGTCACTGTCAAAATGTCAGAACCTTCACTCTGCTGGAAAATTACATTTGGGGTGAGAATGATGCTTAATGCAATGCTAGCCTTTGATGTGCAGAATCACCCCTCCTTCCTTTCGATAGCCTGAACCCTATGCAACTGTCAAACTTTTTGTCAAATTCCACTTGTAATCTGTGTGTGCCTTTGTGACTCATGTGCACCCCCCAAAGAAGCTAGTATCTATTTATTTCGTATGTGTCACTGATTGCCTATGCCATCTCTTGTGACTTATTAACACATTGCTGTATTTCTGACCTTGATAGCTTTTATTGCCATTTTGTATTTTTCATACAAGCTTTTGAAACTTAGTAACTTTTTAGGTTTAAGCTTTCCTGACTGACTGGATGTTACAGCCCTTAAAGGTAGAACCGCAGCTGCCAGTTCTGAATGTCAGCAGGGCTCAGCCTGGAGCTATGGTAGTTTGAATGAGTCAGGATCTGTGGGACTCATGTTTGTCAGTTATTGCTTCCCAGCTTCAGACTGCCTTAGTTGTGTGATCTAACAGTGATAACCTGAACTAAAGTCTGTCAACTATAGCTCTTCTCAGCATCTGTAGACTCTGACATCCTTATTCAGTCAATCCATTGATTATTTTTAAGGTTAGGCACTATACTAGATACCTTAACACAAAAGTAAAGAAGCCACTGGAACAGCACTAAAACAGCTTACCACTAAAATGTGTGTTTACGGGGAAAGGGTCAGAGTACACGATGACAAGAGATCTACAGGCACACGGCACTGTGAGAATCCTGACCAATAAATGAATTCAATAGGATAGTGAGGGTTAAATGCAGAGGATAGAAGTTTAAGAAATTCTAGAACATCTTTTTCATTTGTCTCTGCTAATTAGTGAACAAGACGGTTAGTCAAGAGAGTCTGAGTAAAATTATACTTTTATTTCATTCTCACTCCTAGTTCAGAACACTGAAAATGAGAAAAGTGCACACTTCTTTTAGAACTAGCTACAATCTCAGCCACTGTCAGCATTTTTCTGCTGGTTCCTGCTGAGAGAAGAATGATGTGCTACCTAGAGAGGAGCACTGAGAGACTCTGCATATCGCAGAACCCTTGCTATGCAGTCTTCTTTTGGGGGAACTCTGATTCTTTTGTGGCATCTTGCTGCCAGTTCCCAGTGCCTTCTTGCATCTTGTTCTCTGATGTATCTTCCATTGTTCATTGCAGTACTCAATGTGCTAAGTGGAAGTGGTCAAATGTCGCTTCTTTTTCCTTAAGGGAACATGCATTTTAAATAAGGAATAGAATGTTCAAGTAACTATGTTTTTATTATGGTTGTTTTATATTCCAACAGTCAGGTTGAAAAAGAGAGATACTGGCATTTGAATGCAAAGTCTCTATACAGTTGCTTAAAGCCAAGACTGACTCTGACCAGAGATCTGCCTGGAACTAATGGAAATAAGACGAATGAAATAAGAACTCACATGTTCAGGTCTGCCAGGGATTTTGTTTTGAGATGGGGTTTCTCTGTGTAACAACATTGGCTTTCCTGGAACTCGATCTGTAGACCACATGTGCCTTGAACTCACAGAGATTCATCTGTCTCTGCCCCCTGAGTTCTGAGATTAAAAGCATGGGCTACAACTGACTGACTCCAGTCAGGGATTTTTATCTGAGGTTGAAAGTATTTAAGGCTGCATTTCTCTGGAATAAAATGTTACCTCTGGGCCACTGAAGTCACATCAGACATGAAGCACTAAAGATTATTTATTTTAGAGGGGATGGGCTGTGCTTACCCCTTCCTCTTGGACCCTTCGTGGGTGGCCTTCTGCCTGATAGAAGATGAAGCATCGGGCTTGTCTACATCTTGATGGGCTTGCCCTTGGCCCTGTATTTCTTCAGATCCTCATGGAAAAAATAGAAAACAAATTTACTTTTAAAAAGCAGAAAGGATAACAAATTTCTCTTCTGCAGTCATTTTCCTAGATTGCTACAAGACAAACAAAAATTTACAATAATCAGTAACAGTTCAATCCTAAGATATGTTGTATACATAGGCATTTCTAATTAGTTGAATGCTGTAGAGATAATTAAGAATTAAGACTCATCAGGTGAAGGTTTGGCATGATAAGCTTTCTTAGGAAAACTGCAATGAAGGAACAAATTCATTATGCCTCTACAGATATCTTTAGGGTAGGAAATGCTGAGTTCAGGAGACCTCTAATTCCATAGATTATAGACATTATTTGTATATGTGTTTTGTCTTGTTTTGAGACAGTTCCCTCTATATTCCTAAGGCTGGTCTGGAACTTACTATGTATTCCAGACTGCTTTTAAGTACAAAATTGTTGTGCCTCAGTCTTCCAGGAGTAATGAACCCAAATGTGCCACAACACTCCACAGCCAGACATCATGGAAATGAGAGGCCAGATTTCCTGGGATGTGTTCATGCTTGTAAATGTAGTTCATGCACTGGAAGGCACTGAGGTTTAGTGTAGGAAGAAACTGTAGCTGACTGGATATTTTTCATTCAACCTGACTCATCTAACATCAGACCTGATGCCACTCACCTTTACGAACCTTCTTTGTGAGTATCATACACCCAAAGTGACAAAGGAATCAGTTGTAAGTTTACCAGACCAAAAGATACCTATTCCACCTTTATTATATAAACAATGCATGGGAAATCTACACTCAAGAAAGTTTTATTGATACTGAACAAATTAGACTGTAGTTTGAGTACACTGGCGCAGTCTTAAGCTGGTGGTTCTTGGTGTTTGTGTCAGGACAATTTTTCATTGACTAGAAACTTTCCTGCATATTTTAAGCCCATTAGCTTTTCATACTTGGTTCCTGTCCAATACATGCCATTGACTCAATCTAACAATGACTACAAAAATGCTCCTTGGCATTTCTCAATGTTCCCATTTGTGAGAGTGGGACTTTGGGTTACAATACCAAGTATGAAATTTTAAAAATACCATTTAAAAGAAAATCTGAAAGTGAACTTGGTGAAAAATCAATAATTGCTTTCAAAACCATAAATTTCACCTGTTTTAGGTTGCTTTCTTAAATGTTTAGTAAAATATCAGAAATCTGTTTGGAAAAATAACTGGCTGTGATGAGGATAACTGACTCCTTTGAAATTCTTTAGCATGTCAGATATGTGGAAAATGATTATGAAGTTTCTTTTCTACTGACTTCATTTGTATGACTTTCAGGTTTAGATTTTAAGCCACCAAGCTGTGAAATTACCTACAGGACTGAGGAAAAAATGCAACTGTGTTCACCTGCTATATTACCATAGGGAAGTTCTTTAACCTAACCAAAGACTTAGAGACAAATACTTGCATTAGTTACCTGGACTTCTTCTTAAGATGGACTGTCGAACAACATCAGTGCCCAGAACATTGACTTGCTTGAAACGCTTTGCCTTTTCTTCAAAAAACCATTCTCCACTTATAATTCTTAGCTGTCTGCTCATGGAGCAAAAAGGAAGGTACTAAAGTTAAATTATTTAGCTTCGCATAGGTAACTTTCAAAACCCACTTAGCTAAAAAATGTGACTGTGCATAAAAGATCTTCACTAGAAGAAATGAGGGACAATCAAAGGCTCCATATGAGATAATGGCATCAATAAAAACTTGTTTTAGGAAGATTGGTTAATGGAACATAAATGCCGAACTAGATTGTAGAGAAGAGGACAAAGACTATCACAATACTCCAGGAAAACGGTAATGGGATGCATTCTTGAGCAAGAGAAAACTAACAGAGGAGGAAGTCGATTCAAAATACCCTGTTAGAAATGTCTTCCTGGACTTTGTAATCAATTAAATGTTAAATATGGGAAAGAATCCTTGAATAACCATGTACTGGTTGGGTTATGTCAACTCAATGCAAACTGTGTCACCTGGGAAGTGGCAACTGCAGCTGGGAAACTGCCTCCATCAGATTAGCCTTGAGCATTTTCTTGACTGATGATTGATGTGGCAGGGCCCAGTCCACTGGGGTGGTGTTACCTCTGGAAACTAAGACCTAGGTTATATAAGAAAGTAAGTTGGGCAAGCCATAGAGAGAAAGTCAGTAAGAAACTTTCCTCCATGATTCCTGCTTCTGCTCCTACTTGAGTTACTACCCTGACCTTCCTTGATTATGAACTGTGTTTGTGATATGTACAACAAATAAACACTGTGTTCTTCAAGTTGCTTTTGGTCAATGTTTTATCACAGCAACAAAATGAAACTAGGACAGGTCCTATCCATCTTTTGAGCGCTACCTATGATGACTATATGAAATCACCTCCTATCTTCCCTCTAGGAATGTCTGTGATCCTCCATTAGGCCTTCACATTTTTCTATGATTTAGAGAGTTTTAAACTTTATTTTAGGATTATAAGTCATGTCTATTTGTCTGTTAACTCTTCGAGAGACAATCTCTATGCATCTCAACTATGCCCCCCATAGTACTATAATAATAGGCATTTACCAGACTGTTCACTCAAGCAATAGTTTCTTCTTTTTATCATATAAACTAACACACATTTGTTACACAGATGGTGGAATGTATTGTGGTATTTTTTGTGCAAAATTGCACATAAATGGTACTGGTCTATACTTCTTCAAGTCATAATTTTAATTTCAGCCACCATAACAGACTTACTAATTCTTGCAAAGTCTCATCCTCGAGATACCTTCCTTAATTTGTATTTTATCAGTTCTTGTCTTGTCAGCTAGTGTCTTAATTGGTTTAGCAGTGTCTTGTTTCTCCATATATTTCTCCAGATATTATATAATCAAGTGTGAACTTCAGTGTAAGTCCTTTACGGCCTCTCGAATGACGTTTTAGCTTCTTAGCATAGCATTCAAAGATTGCTATTATGTAGCCCAGTCCTACCTCTTAACCTTATTTTCTACTAAAACCCTATAGAAATCATTTACCCCGACAGTACAAGACTATTTTCCACGCCTCATCTCATTCCCTTATAAACTATTCCTTCATGTTTAATTAGAAATAATTGTAGACTGCTTAATGACTTTTTTGGTTCTACATCTTTGTTAAAGCCACCAACTGAGCTTCATAGCAGTGTAGCTGCTGTAGGTTGAATTACAGGATTCCTTAATATATCTTCAGAGATTTATAGGCTTATATATTATTATTTATGCTAGATATACAGGCATCTGTGAAATGCTAATTTCTAGAGATGTTCTTTCAAGATTATTGTCAACCAGAAACTCATATAAGTACTAATATAACCTGATTTTACAGCAAGAATAGATCCACTAATGAAGTGACTTTAAAATACCAAGACTGTCCTAGGTCATTCATGTGGATCAAAATAATCACATGAGCTGTTGAAACCAAGGAAAGTAAGTGGAAGTCAACAGAGACAGCATAGAGTTGAAAGTCACAGAGTGAAATGAGAACAAGAGTGGCATAGTTGAGTGCTTGAAAATTATCCAAAAGTGTATATGCTAAGTCTTGTCTCTTATGTGTGTATGTGCTTATAAGAGAATGCAGAGGATATTATAGTGACAGTTTCATGTGTGGCAGTCTACATTCTAAAGGAAACAGACCTCCATGCTATCTTTACCATACATCTACAGCTGCCAACAGATAACACAAATACTATTTCTACAGAACTGTTATTTACTACCTCCTGCCATCTGTGGGAGAACAATAGCTATAATTGTATTTGTTCACCTCCAGTATGAACTTGAATAATTTGTCATTTTTGGAACTCTGAAGTATCAGAGATAATGCCCTTGTCCCCTTCATTGTTTTTGGATGTAGACAGAAAATTAATAGAAGAACAGGAAACTAATACTGAATACTTAACGAGTACCAAGTAATGTGCTACGCACTTTATATATGCTATTTGCCATCCTCACCATGAAATGTAAGCTGTCAATGACAGTCCTCACTCTATAGACTAGGAAACTCACATAGGTTAAACTATTTCTCAAAGATATAAAGGTGTGATGGAAGATGCAACATTCATACTTCAAGTCTGATACTCTTTCCATTGGGCATTATCATCAGAAGAAAACTCATGTTTGTCAACTACAAGGCTTTGATGGGGGAAGAAAATACATGGGAGCAAAAAACCAATTGTCACCAATGCTTAGCCTTCTCAATGAATGAATGTGTGTATACTTCCACATGTGTGCCCACTGTGCGCCAAGCAGCAAGAATAATGAAATGGTGAGAGAGGATAAAAAGCAAATGTGGAACTCGCTACAAGATTTCAATCTGTCTGCCATGTCACTGTAGTATTCAAAACACCCAAGGCTTGAAATAGACTCTGTTTCCTCCAAGTTGAACTCTGAAGAATGTGTTTTGACTGAAATTACAGGGTAACATACTTATTATCTGTGAACACTGATTGCTAACTATCAGAGAGTGTTAGCTTCAGGTTTTATTCAGTATTAAACTTCTGGACCTTATGTAATTTTCCTTTATTTGGAAATTTACATAAATGTGAAGAAGTTCTATTCTCTTTGTATTTACAGGGCAAATAGGTAATCTTGTTTTAGAAACATAGCAACCGAAGCATTTTGTTTGCTTATCTATCATTAACTACTGGAGACACATTTAATAAGATATGCTTTGTAAGATACACTAAGTTATTATTTCCCATCTGTTAATCACAAGGAAACTTATTATTTATACATTCATTCACTACCCAGTACATATTTATTGGATTCTTACTATTGGGGGTTTTCCACATAGAGAGTGTGTTCAGTCTAGATTCCTTTGTGTCCAAGCAGAAAATATGCAAAGAAATCCCCATGCATAAGATAGTGAAACTGAAAACCACTTACAGGCAAAGAAAACATCTTAAATGTAGTAAAGGGACAAGGAAAACAAAATGGTCCGTCTACAACGGGAGTAGCCTTCCTCTCCCAATCCTTACGATAAACATTCCAGTACTTCAGAAAGAAAACACTGTCCAAGGTAAATGACAATAAAGGTTGTTCTTCCAAATGATTAAAGAATGAGTCACATTCTGAGTCATCTCATCTCTTAGAGGTTAGGGTGGGAATTTCTATTTAATGGTCTATTAAACATGGAGACAGTCCAGTAGGCCTATAATATTCTCTTATAACAAAGGACATTCTTTGCCAATAAAATATCATTTATGTTTCCTTGTTGAAAACCACTCAATGAATAGCAAACAGGATATTTCCAATGTTGAAAGCTTCAGTCCAAGAGAGCACACAAAGAAGTAGCTTAAATATTAGAGAAGTATTAATATATTTTTCAGCTAAAAAGTAAGCATGAACTTTTATTATTAAATGCTCATGTAAATTTGCATTTATTGTTAAAAACCTAACTATAGATAAATTGTTGCTGGAGAAGTATAAGAATGACACATCAAAAATATTTTCTCTTTAGAATATGCAGAATAATTAAGAATTTCTTTAATAGTTGCAAAAATAATGTAATAACCTTATTTCTTACGTTACACTATGAAGCCATGGAAAGCATCCCAAGTTTCCCTTTCCTTGTATCTTAATAGGCTAACAACAAATATGTATAAGGGATGGAGAGGTGTGTGGATGAATAGATCTATTATTAGTGAAATATATGGCTTACTTGATTAAGTTAATGTTTCACTAATAAAAGAAGACAATTAATTGAGAAGTTTTTTATTCATATATTAATAGTTATAAAAAAGCATCCTGTTCAACATCTAAGTATTTATGTCTGTATCATCTTACAACAACTTGTATTTTTTCTGTGATGTATAGATATTTACTTTGTTTAAAAGGAAGATGTACTTGTCATGGCTCTTGTTTTTCACTCCAACTTCATATTCCCAATAGAATAAAATTGTATGTGTTCTACTTTTCTTCCTCTTACTCCAGCCTGCTATGCTTTAAGTAGGACACATTCATTCATCCATTTATCATTTCATTATCTTGCTTATTCATCCATCTACTCATTTAACAAATACACACGGAGCACGTACGTTAGGCATTCCTTTAGGCATGAGGACATCATCAGTGAACAACACAGATTATTTTTAAATCTCCTGTCTTCATGGTAATGGAACTTATAGTAGAGGAAGAGAAATAAGGAATACGATAAATAAATGTAGCACATGTGATCTAAGTGAGAAGCATAGGAAAGGATTCTTTTATTTTGGGCAGGCAGTTTCTATGAACATCTCCATATCATACTCAACATATTAAGACTTAATTTCTTGCTAATACACCCTAAAGAGAATTTGACTCCTGCCTTTCAGAGGAAAGATATAGTGAATTAGACCTTTTTTTAACACCAATATATCTAGCAAATGAACTGATTGTAAAAACATAAGGCCACAAATCTTGTGATTTAGTAATTAGAACTAGTATAGATACATTAAAGTCAAACTTTGCCTTCTTATATTGAAGCCTGAGGCACCATATAACAGAAAAGGGGGCTTTGAGTCTTAGGCCTTATATCTTTTTGTGAGAACAAATGAGGGTCCGGCCTATATAAGAGAATGAACAGAAAAAGGATGTATTGGATAAGAATTGGAGACGTAGTTACAGAAAAATTTCTCATCAATCCTGGAAGATTTGTGTAGGCAAGTTCATTAAAATGAGGAACAAGACAAGATTGCCCACACTCCCCATACCTATTCAATATAGTACTTGAAGTCTTAGCTAGAGCAATAGGCCACTGAAGAGGATCAAGGGGATACAAATTGGAAAGGAAGAAGTTAAGATATCTTTATTGACAGATGACATGATTGTATATATGTGACTCTAAAAATTTTACTGGGGATCTCCTATAGCTGATAAACACTCACCAAAGTTGCTGCATACAAAAGTAACTAACAAAAATCAATAGCCCTCTATAAAAGCAGACAGGTGGACTAATGGAATCGATTCAAAGTCTCTGACATCAATCTATACACCTATGAACACCTGATTTTTTGACAAAGAAGCTAAAATTATAAAATGGAAAAAAACATCTTCAACAAATGGTGCTTGCATAACTGGATGCTGACATGTAGAAAAAATCCAAATAGATCCATATCTATCCCCATGCACAAAACTCAAGCCCAAATGGAACAAAGACCTCAGCACAAAACTAACTACACTGAACCTCATAGAAGATAATGTGGGAAGTAGCCTTGAGTGCATTTACACAGGAGACCAGTTCTCAGTGTTAGTAGCTCAGACACTGAGAACAACAATGAATAAATTGAACCACCTGAAACTGAGAAGCTTCTGTAAAGCAAAGGACATGGTCAACAAGACAAAATGACAGCCTACAGCATGGTAAAAGACTTTTATCAACCCCACATCTGACAGAGGACTGATCTCCAAAATACACAAAGAACTCAAGAAAGTAGACATCAAAGGACCAAATAATCCAATTAAAAAATGGAGTACAGATCTAAAAAGAGAACTCTCAACAGAGGAATCCCAAATGGCCAAAAGACCCTAAGGAAGTACTCAACATTCTTAGTCATCAGAGAAATGCAAATCAAAACAACTCTGAGATTCCATCTTACACCAATCAGAATGACCAACATCAAAAACTATGAATTATGCTGGAGAGAATGTGTAGAAAGGGGAACACTCTTCCATTGCTGGTGGGAGTGCAAACTTGTACGGCTGCTTTGGAAGTAAGTATGGCAGTTTCTCAGAAAATTAACAATCAACTTACCTAAAGACCCAGTAACACCACTTATGGGCATATAGTCAAAGGATATATGCTTACACCACAAGAACATTTACTCAACTATGTTCATAGCAGCATTACTTGTAATAGGCAGAACCTGGAATCAGCCTAGATACCCCTCAACTGAAGAATGGATAAGGCAAATGTAGTACACTTACACAATGGAGTACTCCTTGGTGGTAAAAAGCAATGACATCTTGAAATTTGCAAACAAATGGACAGAAATAGAAAAAGCCATCTTGAGTGAGGTAACCCAGACCCAGAAAGACAAACATAATATGTACTCACTCTCAAGTGGATATTAGACATAAAGCAAAGGACTACCAGCTTATAGGCCACAAACCCAGAGAACCTAGATAACAAAGAGGACCCTAAGAAAGACATACATACATGGATCTGCCTAGGAAAGGGAAAAAGACAAGATCTCCTGAGTAAATTAGGAGCATGAGGGACGGGAAGGGGGTGTAAGGGAGGGAAGGAGGGAAGGGGAGTGGGGATAAATGTATAACTCAATTAAAAATGGCAAAAATCAGCAGCACTCCTATATACAACTGACAAATGGCCTGAGAAAGAAATCAGGATAACACACCTAGCATAATATCCTCAAAAATAAAAAATATCTTTGGGTAACTCTAACCAAGCAAGTGACAGCTTGTATGATAAAAACTTCAAGTCTTTGAAGAAAGAAATTGAAGAAAATATCAGAAGATGGAAAGCTCTCCCATGCACATGAATTGGTAGGATCAACATAGAAAAAATGGCCATTCTACCATAAATCAATTAGTGACTTAATGTAATCCCCACCAAAACTCCAACACAATTCTTTACATCTGAGAGGAAAGAACGTCAACTAAAAAGAATACCTCCATAAAACTCAGCTGCAGTCAACTCTATAAGATATTTTCTTAAGTAGAGTTTGATGGGGGAGGGCCCAACCCATTGTGGGTGGGGCTATTCCTGGGCTTGGTTGTCCTGGGTTCTATAAGAAAACAGGCTGAGCAAGTCATGGGGAGCAAGCCATTAAGCAGCACCACTTCATGGCCTCTGCATCAGCTTCTGCCTCCAGGTTCCTGTTCTGTTTGCATTCCTGCCCTGACTTCCTTCAGTGATGGACTGCAATGTGGAAATTTCAGTCTAATAAACCTTTTATTACCTAACTTGCTGTTGTCATGGTGTTTCATTGCAGCAATAGAATCTAAAATAGAGACAGAATCACAGCTAGCCATTTCCTGTCACCAAGTACTGGGACTTGGGTTCCATCCAATTGAATTGCTGGCCAAAGGCAGTGGTTCTCAACTTTCCTAATCCTGTGATCCTTTATTACAGTTCCTATTTCTACTACTATGAATCATAATGTAAATATCTTTTGTGCAGGATACCTGAAATGTGACTTCTACAGGGGCTGTGACCCACCCACAGGTTGAGAACCACTGGTCAAAGGCAGTAGGTTGCTCTCCAAAAACTGACAGCAAAACACATCTCATTGCTCATGGAGATATCAAGCTGATGCCTCCATAGAACTATCACCCTTAAATCCTAGTGCAGTGGTTCTCAACATGTGGGTTGCAAACCCCTTTGGGGCTAAGTGACCCTTCCACAGGGGCCACATAAGACAATTAGAAAACATGGACATTTATATTATGATTCATAGCAGTAGCAACAGTACAGTTATGAAGTAGCAAAGAAAATAATCTTATGGTTGGGGATCAGCACAACATGAGGAACTGTATTAAAGGGTTGCAGTGTTAAGAATGTTAAGAACCACTTCTCTGAACAGAAACATAATGGGAGTGCTGCCTCCTTTTATCCTTTTTGATGAACAGTTAGGCCTAGAGAACAATAAATAACTATTTCACCTCAGCCGAGGCATACAGAACATGATGCTTGATGCTCATTTTGCCAGTTATCTCACATGTTTAAGAATGTCAAGAGAACTCTGTCCATGCCTTTGTAGAAGCCATGTGGCATCTTGAACGGTTTATAGGAAAGAAAATACATGACTTGCTTTTAAATACAGGGAGACACTGATTTTATTAGGCCTCTGATTTTATTAAGCTTCAGGGTCATTTCCCACCTTTATATCTGCTTCTACCTGTTTCTCTCCCACGGAACACTCCTTTATCTGTCTCTCTGCCTGTTTCTATCTTCCTTATCCTCCTTGTTTCTGTCTTTCTATCTCTAATACACGCACACACACACACACACACACACACACACACACACACACATCAAGCCTGTAACTAGGCTGTGCTTTTAAATCTACTCTCAATTTAAAATACTTTTCCTCATTTCTTACTTTCCTCCTTCAAATCTTATCAGTCACCAAATACGAATTTTGCACAGAAAGGGAGGAAACTCACGCGACTTTGGCACAGACAGTGCACTTCCAGCTGCCACCAAGGCCTGTGACTCGACACTCACTGCACACCCTGAGTGAGCACGTTTGGCATGGATCTCCCCGGTCAAAGATGAGGCCAAGGTTTTTCTGACAGTGAACACAAACTCTACTGGTCTCTTGTTGAGTCTTCCCACTTCTACGCTTTGCCTCTAAAAGTTCATTTTTCAGCTTCCTGGGAAGAGAAAAAGGCACATTAAAAATGAAGAAGAGGACTGACGAAATTACTCTATGGGTAAAAACTCTTACTGTAAAACAAGTTCAATCCCTGGAACCCACATGGTAGGAGAGAGAACCAATTCCCTCAAGTTGTCCTCTGACTTACACATCACATGACAGATATGGCATGTGTATGTTACCCACCTCAACACACAAATAAATACAGAAGTGTAACCAAAAACTTCTCACAGGAGCACAGCCTTCTTTATTTAAAATATTTTCATAATTGAATCAAGGAATCAGAGCCAAATACTTCCATCCAATACAATTTCTCCATTCAGAGCCAATTATTTTGAAACTAGCTGTTGAATAAGTAATTGTTTTGCTTTTGCCATCTTCCACTAGCACTGGTTTTCATTCCTGTTTATTTATTTATTCAGGATGCCTTTGATATTATGATCCTGGAAGTGCTCTCTATGTACGCACATGAGATAAGCGTTAAGACTTCAGCCTTGTTATTTCTTCTCTTGAGTGAACCTATGAAGAGTGTACCTACAAACATATTTTACCATCTCAGTTCTACATACTTCTGCTTAGCATGGAAGAGTTTACACATTAATGATTTTGTCACAAAACACCTATGTTTGAGTCCAGGACACAACATAAATTAGCTGGCCAACTGCCAACAATGATTTATCCACTTAATTTAAACTCTCATTTTCTAAAATAGGAATAAGGAATAGTTACATTCTTCAATGGTAGTCTTTATGAGATAATAAAAGCAAAGTCTGTAGTATGATTCCTGACACATAGGTATTACGTACATGACACTTTCATATGCCCTTTTAAAAACCATTTGACAAGAAATGTCTTTTGTACATCCTTTAGAAACTTGGAATTGCAAGCATAGTCCTTTTTTCAGAAGCTGCACTTAGGAAATTCTTAGGCATACTTATCAGGATATGGTTTACTGGATCAAAATCTGCTCTTTATCAAAATATCCAATTGATGATAGTGTGAGAAGTACAGCTTTGGAACATGTGTTCTCTAGACACTGGAATAGCTTGGAAATACTGCTGGGCAAGTCTCATGCCCACACATTTGAATGCTATTGGTTTGGCAGGTAGCCTGGGAAACGTTATGTCTAAAGCATCTTTATTTGTTCTAGTATATTGCAAGGTTTGGCAAACACCACTCTGGAAGATTGGCCTGCTCCCATCTTAATATTGATAGATACGCCATTCCTTTGGGTTGCTGGTTTCTTATCTTGTCTTCAGTGCCCAGAAAGGCAACCTGGAAACATTCCACATCTTTCATACCATTTTCTTTCCACATTTAGGACATTTTTTGGCAGCTTCATCTGGACTAGCATTATTTCGGGTACAAAATAATGATTGTATTTTCTTGAGCGCATGCTCAGGGTGTAACTCCAGACTGGGTTATAAAGCAGTTGAATAGTTGAAGGTAATAATTATTTTTGTGAAGTCTTATGAATCTACACTGGTTCATGTGTAGTGTTATGTGTGGTGAAATCAGTGAATGATATTAACAGTTAATTCATGTTAATAAAAATAAAATATTTCAAAGATAATAAGCAGATAGATAGAAGCAGAATCCAGAACTTTTCATTCTTAGCCCAATGAGAGAATCATAAGTCAAGTATTTTAAACTGAGGAATAAGTTTTCCAAAATTATTGACATTTTCATATATTAATTCAGCATGTGCTAGGTAGGTTATCAGACATAAGCAGGCTTGGAAGACACGAAGATGGATGCTTCCATCATAGTCAATTTTGGAGCCTACCTCCTGTTTCTCTGGTAACATTAGACAGAAAAGCATCACAGTTGCTGCATCTTTACAATTTAAAATACTGGATGAACAGGACTTTGTTTTTGGTCCATTAAAAGAAAGATAATATGCCTTGGTTGAAAGATAAAAATATGAGTTCTACTTTTGGCCCTGAGTAGAAACATTCTGGTATATACAATATCATCACCTCCCTTAAGAGTTAATCCAACTGAGCCTATCCGTCACCTGGTCAAGAGAGCACTCCCACAAAAGCTAATTCAAATTAAAATGGGCTAAAGAAAGAAGAATAGTTATCCCATTGATGAGATAATATACTTATATACGTCAGAATTTCCCCCACCCCCAGATCTGCTGCTTACAGATCTTCACAGCTGAGGTCTAACCCCCAAAGAATAATCCCCTCATTCCTTACCTCTTCTGGAATACCAGCCCTAGTCCTAACAATGCTTTCCCTGACAGTCTGGGCATACTTATCGTTTTCATGAAGAACCCTATCTCCATTTCTAGAGCTGTTTATAGTCCACCATACTGATTCTAACTCAAAGGTAGAAAATTCTCTCTCTCTCTCTCTGTCTCTCTCTCTGTCTCTCTGTCTCTCTCTCTGTCTCTCTCTCTCTCTCTGTCTCTCTCTGTCTCTGTCTCTGTCTCTCTGTCTCTGTCTCTCTCTCTCTGTCTCTCTCTCTCTCTCTCTCTCTCTCTCTCTCTCTCTCTGTCTCATTTCCCCTGGCTGTTGCTTCCCTCATATGCTAATATAATGGACCTCAAGTCTCCTTCTGAGTCTGTTTTAAAATTATTTTATCAGGGGCTGGAGAGACAGTTGAGCAGAAAGTTCAAGTACAGCTCTTGTAGAGGACCTGAGTACAGTTCTCCAAACCCACATTGGGCAGCTCACAACTTCTTGTAACTCCAGTTCCAGGTCATCTGATACCATCTTCTGTGTACACAGAGAGAATTAAAAATAAAATATTTTACAAACACAATCTCTCATGTCAATGACATGAAAAACCCACCAAAGGAGACTGTAATTGGCTGCTAACATTTGCAGTTATTGAGCCTCTGTTCTGTTCTAGGTGTTCTGGTATGCAGCTATTTAAATGAGTTAATATAGGACACCTACTAAGGACTTCCATTATGTTTCATGTTACTCAGATGGGGACAAATTACCCAAGTAGTGCAACAACATCCATAGATAACACTTATGTCTTCACTGTCTTGTCCATCTAAACACAAATAATAAGAGCCCAACAACACACTTTTTCCAAATTTAGGGCTTTAGTGCTTACAGCTTGTTGTTATGACTTCTACCAGAGCACCTGACTCAAATGAATTTGGGAAATGTTTTTAGGTACTTGTGAAAGGTATAGGCTTTAAGTTTATCAGAATATCAGAATGGGTTCCCACTTGAAGAAATCTCCTGTACTATTTGTAAGAGCCCAACAGTTGCATGAATACTTCAGGGTCCAGGAGTAGTAGGCCTTTTGTGTATTTCTGTTGACAAATGCTGTCTTGAGCTCTCAACAGCTATGACTGTCTGATAGAGACCTGCATACAACTAGGCGTAGTAATATTCCGTCATGAATGAGGAGCTCAGGAGACCCTATATATCCCTTGCTGAGGATACATAGGTAATTAATGTTTGCTGGGGTAGAGGGACCCACAAAATCCCACCCTGTCCTGTCAGGTAAATGTTGCTATGGATAGTGACATTTTCTTTAATGATGTGGTCACTGGTAATGTGCCTATGGACGCAAGTAATCCTACTAAAACTCTTTGGTTCATTAATCTACACTTGGGTGGAATCTTTTCCTTAGTATGCCATTGATGTCCTATCCTTGATGAATACAGTTTGTCTCCCCAGAAAAAGTTGACATAATAATTGATAAAGATACAAAGTAATTGAAATAATAAGAGGACAACAACCCTTGAGAGCAACCTTATATGAATATGTTGGTGGATCAAAGTAACAAGCAGAATAGAGAGGAGATTGGGATTATCCTAGAGGGAAATTCTCTCCTGGAAAAGAAAATACCATTGGGTACTCAAAGTTTAGCCTCTTATCAGCTCCTTTTACTAGAATAGCTGGGATTCCTAAGGGAAGTCATAGCCACATACAAGTCAAACATTTGCTTTCCATTTTTTGTGCTTTACTTCACAGTAACTTAACCCAGAAAATGGTCCCTTAGCCTGAAAGGACTTGGGACTCAGTATAGATCAGGCTAGAGGAAAGCAAATATACAAGGATCTTAGTTGGGCAATTCCTAAGACAATCGATGTTTATGATGCCAACTGTTTCTGAGACATACTACTAAGTCTGGAAAGGTTTTGTTTTTAATATATTTTTTACTTTTTAATTTAAATTAGAAACAAGCTTGCTTCACATGTCAATCCCAGCTCCTTCTCCCTCCCCTCTTCCCCCGCCCCCCACCAACCACCCAAACTCCCCACCCAATCCCCACTCTGCTCCCTGGGGAAGGTGAGGCCCTGCATGGGGGATCTCCAAAGTCTGTCACATCATCTGTGGTAGGGCCTAGGCCCTCCCCCATATGTCCAGGCTAAGAGAGTATCCTTTCATGTGGAATGAGCTCCCAAAGTCCATTCGAATGCCAGGGATAAATATAAATCTACTAGCCGAGGCCCCATAGATTGCCAAGGCCTCCTCACTGAAACCCAAATTTAGGGGGTCTGAATCAGTCCCATGCTGGCCTCTCAGTCATCAGTCTGGTGTTCACAAGCTCCCCCTTGTTCAGGTCAGCTGTTTCTGTGGCTTTCACCAGCCTGGTCTTGACCTCTTTGCTCATCAGTCCCCCCTCTCTACAACTGGGTTCCAGGAGTTCAATTCAGTGTTTAGCTGTGGATGTCTGCCTCTGCTTCCATTAGCCATTGGATGCAGGCTCTAGGATGACATATAAGGGAAATCTCCAGAGATCTGCAAGGATGCAATAGTGCAGAGGCTACCTTAATTGCCCATCTCCAAGAATGAGATTGATGACTACCTTGTATGACAACCTAGAGCCTTCATCCAGGTCCTTGCTGTCCCCTCCTTTCTCTAGTCATCTCCCTTCTAGTCACTATATCCTGCTATTTCAAGTTTAATAAATAAACAAACTTCTTTCCCAGCTCACAGGGCCTCTGTGCATATTGTTTCTTTTGCTGAGTATGCCTTCCCTCGATGCTTCAGGATATAAACTTTTCACAAATATTTCCCA